AGCAATTCATGTCAGGCTATGGTGGCTTTATTTACATCTCATTTAAGTCAGCTCAGCTCTGCCCTCTGCCCCAGGGTCTCCTGGATCAACTCACCCCTTTTCCAGCTTTACTCTGATTTAGTTTTAAAAACCTCAGCATATGCAGCATGAAACATTTCATTTTTATGGCGGATATTTCTGCTGCAGAGTCCTTTTGTGTGATTCCTTCAGGCTGTCCATACCCAACATGCCCATGGTCAGGATCACCTGCCCTGCTCTTCACCAGCCTGGGTGGAAGAGCTCCTGAACTGCTCCTGCTTTCCTCACAAGCACCTTACAGAGCTGAAAACAACTTTGAGATGATTCAGAGTGAACATCCCTGCCCAAAGTAACAACTTTGTCAAACATGTAGGGCTTGTGGGCTCCATGCTAAAGCCTCAGTCCACTCTAAAAATGTCTTTGTTGTATCTGGTTTCTCTCACTGGTGATGGTGTCCTGCCTGTGATGATTTGCTGGTGACAAATGGAATCTCGGGGTTTTTTCCTCCCAATAATTTGGATGTCTGAGGACTGAGAGCCCCCAAAATCACATATTTCCTTATTTTTTTACTCACCTGGAATTCCTCTGTTTTAGCTGTTGTGTTATACAAATAGTTTCAGGTAAGATGTCAAAGACTGTTCTTTAGGAACCCCTAAATCAATGTTCTTGACTGGTATCTGCTTGTTGTATCTCATTATTTTTAACAGGGAAAGTCACAATCATCAATAGTGATCTCTTTAATTTATGTAGCATGCAGACCTCAGTGCTGTCACTCTCTATGCAACTCCTGGCAAACATGGGGTTTTTATTTAAAGTATCCTTTTCTGAATTCTAGGCTAGAGTTTATTATTTTTAAAATTGAGGTTTTTTTCAACATATCCTGAGCTATGCAAGCATAATAAAAATACATTTTCCACGTGTACTAACTAGAGCTCTGCTAGCAAAAGTTCCTGAAATTAGAAACTTCCAACTGAGCTTCTTTGTTAATCTACAGTGAGCCTTAAAAGAATCTCAGTTTGAAGACAATTAATGCAGTATTTGAAAATTGTGAGAGCTTGAAATCAATAGTGTTGTACATGCACATTACAAAATCAGAAACATCCCAGCTTCTTCCTCAGCATGCTGCAGAACCCACCCTGAAGTTAAGGGGGAAAACACTCAATAGAAAACTCCTCAGGGAAAGGTTTGTTCAGGAAAGTTGGCTTGGCCCACATGTGTGTGAGGCTGTGCAGGGAATGTGGGGTGTGCCAGGAGAATCCCTTCCCCTCCACAGCCCCCCAGCCCTGCTCTCTGCTGTGGGGAACAGCAGTGAAATGTGCAGAGATTCTGTCACTGCTGAGGAGAGCTGGAAACTAATGCAGCACTGCTGAGGGCATCAGAAGGGGGAAAGGAAGCCTCTCTCCCAATGTTAGCACATTCCTCAAGCTCAGGTCTCACTGACTCGAGTGTGCCTGTGGTGCTTTGCATCCGTAACACTCCAGCACTTGAGTGTGCAGTTCACCTTCAGCAGCTTCATGGGCTCTGCACATTGGGAGTGGAGGTGGGAGTGCTGTGAAGCCACTGCCTGAGCTTTGTGTCTAAATTAAAACAGGAGGGGAACTCATGTTGGAAAGGGGTGTCATGAGCTCACACTCAGGAGGGAGGATTTAGTTGCTTATTTATTTATTTTAAGAACCCTCTGAAATATTTCTCTGAGCATCCAAGAAGCAAAGGGCAATGAAGTCATTGGGATGCTCCCAGAGGGAGGCCATTGCTTTAAAGTTTCCCCTGCAAACAAGAAAACAGCTCAGTGTGTCAGTGAGCCAGCACTGAGCATCTGCCTTGGCTGCAACACGTATCACAGTGGGTTTACTGTGAACATCTGAACAGCACACCAGGAAAACAAAAACAAGAGTAGAAAATGCACAAAGAGCCATCCCTGTATAGTAAGAATAAATTAATTTTCAATATGCTTCTTATTAGCTGAACACTTCACACAAATTTTACTTAGTTCTTCGTTCTGCAGATTGGGAATATCAGGTATTCTAAAGGAGACACCTATGATCCAGAATGTCAGAGGAGCAGGGAGAAGGAAAGCACAGCACATCCATCTAAAGTATTCCCAAGTCTTGAACCCCCACTCTTTATACAGTTAATGGCCTCTCTCAGCAGTTAATGGCCTATATGTAAATAATGCCCATGAAGGTCAAAGTCTAAAAAATAGTAAAATTAGATTCTGTGGCCTGTCAGCATTTGCTTAAATTTGACTGGTTACTGGTGCTGAAATTCTAATAATGAATTCCAGACTATTCACAGTCCTAACTTGCTTTCTTCATTTGGGAATAAATCCAGCCAATTTATTCTAAAAAATAGAAGCCATGAAATCCATAGGATGTATCTTACAGACATTTCATGGCAGTTGGTGAACTCATTACTTTATCTGATAGAAAACACCCTCAAAATCATCATCTGCCTCCTAATCCCTTTATGTTTTTCCTGGTTCAGTTTTTTTTTCGTCTTGCACAGTCTAGAAAAAGTTTCAAAACAGTTGTTTTGAAACATTTTTCCTATTGCTATTAGTGCCATTTGCTTCCATATCATCACTGGTTTTTTGCTGAGATTACTTTGCTTTTCTATGGATGCCCTGCAAGTCCTTTGAAAATGTGAAATGCTTTCACTGAAAAAACTAATGTTGGCACATAATGGATCAATTAGAAAGGTATGTGGTGCAGGAAAGTGTACAAATCTTGACCTTTTTTGTCATAGTGCAGTCTTCTGATAATCAGAGGTTGATATTTCTTTGAAGCATTTCTACACTTGAAATATTTCAACTTAAAATGTATTGGTTTGCAGACTTCTTTTTTACACATACGAGTGTAAAAATGTGTGTCTTTGTCTGTGTGCCTATAGGTATATTCCAAAGCACAGCCATGCCAAAAATAGCACACAGACACATCTGGGAAACACACCAGAGTCTCCTGCAAAGAGGCAGCAGCAGGGAATATATGTGCATATAGATGGATGTGTGTTATATGTGCAGTGTTACCAGCATATTGAATAACTTCCTTAGGGCACTGCTGAAGCAAGAGGCACTGCTGAATGCCTCTGTGACTGAGGCTAATTCTTGCTGGGTTTTGGTTCAATATTTGTCAGATCAACAGCTTAGGAATTTCATGCTTGGATCTCTAGCTGAAAAGCCCTCGCTGGGGAAACTGCCTGGTGTTTTAGGAATTCTTGATGGGAATGAATGTTGTGTGACTATCATGCTTTCTGTGTAGACATTTGCCTACAAGAGGAAGATTGGTTTGCAGTGTTTTGCAGATTCTGTGGCCTGTTCCCCTCAGGCCCAGCTTCTCAGTTTTCAGAGGAGAAGGGTGGTGGAAGGATCCGGCTGGGTCCCTTCAGAGAAAATCCTGACTTCCAGCAAAATCAGCTTGTTACGGAGGAACTGCCCAGCTGGGACTGGGGGCTGACCTTGTGTTCAAGGAGCCTGTCAGAGTTAAGAAAGCAGAAACTATTGACTAAAATAGCCAAGTGGGGACAAGGACTTTTCCAATTGGATCAAAAAATGGGAATTTTCTGAAAGGATTTAACAAGGCAGAGGAAAAAGAAGGGGAAGGAAATGAAATGCCTTACGGACATAGTTCCCTCAGGAGTCCCAAATATGGAATGAGCTGAAGTATGGAGCACTGCATGGCTTTCCTGGTGTAGTTTACCTGTTTTAAGAAGAGAATGTTGCAGCTGAACCATGGGAAGGATGTGGGACTTGTGTGTGTGTGACATTTCTTTTACAAAAGCAAAGTGCAGATCCCAGAAACCCATCATTTTCAGGGTGTGTTATAGCTCTCTCCTGCAGCATCTCCTGTGCTGTCAGCGCCAGCCTGTGAGTTTGGGGACAATTGGGTGGCAGGGCTCCAGGTCCCGAGCCTGGTCCCAGAGACAATGCTGTGCAGTGGGGCCGGGGGGCAGAGCACAGCAGCAGCCCTGCAGCACGCTGGGTCCAGAGCAGCACAACAGCCAGAGCTTCTGCAGGCACTTAGTGAGAGCAGAGCTTCTGGGTCCAGGGAAATTAGCTCCGGAATGAAATGGGAGTTACACAACCCATCCACACTGCCAGCCATTAGAGACAGTTATGGTGCCTTTGGAGATCCTGGCCAGGAAGCCCTCATATGAAAGCAGGCTTCAAGTTATTTATGGACAGGCAGAGCCCAATGGTTTTAATTTTCTAGACAGCTCAGGAGGCCAATCAGATTGGCAACACCAGCAGAATTTGTCAAGAAGCCCCAACTCCTGCTACCACAAATTAATAAGAACCGGTTTTGGGGGAGATGCGCTGTATTGGTGGACCTGGCTGTTCTATGCATGGTTGAGAATTGAACCTCTTCTCACACTCAGGGAGAAGTTGTCTTTGGTCTACTATCTGCTGTTACATTCTCTTTTTTAGTGTCAAACTGGTATAAATATATTTGCCCTTGATTTTTGATACTTACTGCTGCCCGTGCTGGATTCATTTTCTCATCATATGGAAGCCATATGTATTCTTTACACATAGCCTGTAGTGCACTGCAGAATTTATTACCCCATCCTTTAAACATACTGCTCTTACATGCTCAAAGCCCAGCATTTTTATATGCTGTAGATACGTTCACTGCTAGCAAATTATGAGGCACTGTAAAAATTGTATTTATCCACATAATTTTCTATAGCCATTTGGTAATGGAGACGTGGAGGAAAGAAGGGTGCCTCAAAGTACCTGTGCTCCTGTATATGTAGGTATTTTGAGTAGCTCAGGTCATGGAGGGAAATGTTTCATTCCTCACTTAGGCGAGGACAGATTCGATGGTGTGACCGAGCTGCTTTTTGAAAGCAGCATACACAGGCACTCTGAAATATTTCCAGAAAAGGCTTTGGCATGCATAGGGACATTTTATGTTAGGATTACAGTGTCCATACACCTGAGCATTTCTTCCACCACCCTGATGCCTGTCTCCTCCCACCTCCAGGTACCAGATCCACACGGGACTGCAGCACTCCATCATCCGACCGACGCAGCCCAACTGCTTACCTCTGGATAACGTCACACTACCTCAGAAGCTCAAGGAGGCCGGGTACTCCACGCACATGGTGGGCAAGTGGCACCTGGGCTTCTACCGCTGGGAGTGCATGCCCACCCAGAGGGGGTTCGACTCCTTCTTCGGCTCGCTCCTGGGCAGCGGTGACTACTACACCCACTTCAAGTGCGACAGCCCCGGGATATGCGGCTATGACCTGTACGAGAACAACAACGCCGCCTGGGACCACGACAATGGCATCTACTCCACGCAGATGTACACACAGAAAGTGCAGCAGATCCTGGCTTCTCATAACCCTAGGAAACCCATATTCCTCTATATTGCCTACCAAGCTGTCCATTCGCCTCTTCAGGCACCGGGCAGGTATTTTGAACATTACCGCTCGATAAACAACATCAACAGGCGGCGGTACGCAGCCATGCTGGCCTGCTTGGATGAGGCCATAAATAATGTGACCCTCGCTCTGAGGAAGTATGGCTACTACGAGAACAGCATTATCATTTATTCTTCTGATAATGGCGGGCAGCCGATGGCCGGAGGCAGTAACTGGCCACTCCGAGGAAGCAAAGGCACCTATTGGGAAGGAGGTATCCGCGCCGTAGGGTTTGTGCACAGCCCCCTTCTGAAAAACAAAGGGTCTGTATGCAAGGAGCTGGTGCACATCACAGACTGGTTCCCCACGCTGATCACGCTGGCCGAGGGGCAGATTGATGAAGACATCCAGCTGGATGGATATGATGTGTGGGAGACCATCAGCGAGGGCCGGCGCTCCCCGCGGGTGGACATCCTGCACAACATCGACCCCATCTACACCAAAGCCAAGAATGGCTCCTGGGCCGCTGGCTACGGGATCTGGAACACTGCCATCCAGTCTGCCATCAGAGTGAATCACTGGAAGCTGCTGACGGGAAACCCGGGCTACAGCGACTGGGTGCCTCCGCAGGCCTTCAGCAACGCGGGTCCCAACCGCTGGCACAACGAGCGCGTCTCCTGGTCGGCTGGGAAAACCGTGTGGCTCTTCAACATCACGGCCGACCCCTACGAGCGCGTGGACCTGTCTGCCCGGCACCCCGAGGTGGTGAAGCAGCTGCTGCGGAGGCTCTCACAGTTCAACAAGACCGCGGTGCCCGTCCGCTACCCGCCCAAGGACCCTCGCAGCAACCCCAAGCTCAACGGAGGAGTCTGGGGGCCGTGGTTTAAGGAGGACAAAAAGAAAAAGAAATCAGACAAAAGCAAAGGTGCAAATAAGCAGAAGAAGATGAAGAAGAAGAAGAAAGCCAGTCGGAAAAAGGGGCAGTCATTTCACTGCCGGTCACGTCTTGCTGGTGGGTAAACTCTAAGCAGGGTCCTTGGCAAGGCCTGAGTCAGCCTGGCCCCACTTCTTGAACTTCTGATGGAATAGACTAGAAATGCCAGTTCTGCACTATGAATGAAAGTCGTCATCTTTTAATTTTGTCTCTGATTTCACCAGCACAAGATACCTTAGCACTCTGAGTGACCATGTGACAGACTTTCTCCTCCACAGGATGAGTGGTCCTCACCCGTCACCAGACACATTCCAGATAACAACAGCGATAGCATCTTGTTTCAGGAAACTTAGCTTTGATGGACAAATGATGGTTCCTTGCCTTAATTAGCTGGAATCTTTGGAGAGCATGGAGATGTTAATGGCAGATGTTCTCAAGCTGACAGATGGTTCAGAGGGAGAGAGGAGAAACAAAACCCAAGAACCTCTGTGTGTCAGTAAGTGTTAGTCATCAGCCTGTGACATGTTTTGATACAACACAGCAAAACTGAAGCCATCAGGGTAACTTTGTAGAGGTGCTGGGGAGAGGGGCATGATAGGAGGAAAGCTGCTTTAAATTAGATTTTGTCCATCTTAACTAAATCTGAAATATTTTTAACATTTCCTAGATGTGCTGAGCTCCCCCCATTTGCAGTAAAACACATGACCAACAAGCACACACCTCGTGTAATTTATTACAGGATAGACAAAAACACATCACCCAAGTGAATGTAATATTTAAACACTTTAAGATAACTATACAACAATATGTAAAATCGATAATTTATTTTACAGCACAGTCCTATTTCTCTTCCATTAAAATTTCCTAGCTGATGCAAGGTACCCCTGTGGGTGCCAGGGTTGTTTGGGTTCTTTTAATGTTGACTTTTTAAAGTTTATTTCCACCCTGTCATTCAGAGTTTATTTAACAGATTCATATCCTCAGAGTACTGTAAACCAAGGAAATACTGTATACACTGCTAGGATGAGGAAGGAGAACAATTCAGGTGCGTCACTGCATTATGTATTTGCCTTCAGTGGTTTTGAATGCAACAAAGGGTTTATTTAATTTAGGAGTCCCACGAATATTGTTCATTTCTGTACAGAAGCTAGGCCATCTTGATGTTTGGGGGGGAAAATTTTAACCTTTTATTTATGTACCTATTAAAATAGTTTATTTTTATGGCATTCATAAAAGTGGTCTGCCTCTTTTTTTGCGTCCAAAATAGCAATTCTGGCCTAGTTTGTTTTAAACAAACTCAAGTAAGGTGTTTCATTACTATTATTTTTGGTACAGGGATGTTTTATGACATTTTGCTTCTGAAACAGAATTTCTTCTCCCAATATATATATCATTTGAGACATGCTTCAAAGTTTGCCCTTTTCCAAGGTGACTGCATGGATGATGGATGCACGGACTGGCTGCACATTGGTGGTGATCTGTGGTAATTGATAAAATGCACACACACATATAAGCTTCAAGATTAATTATGTTAAGTGAAATTAATGATTCATTTGTTGAATGGCTATAATTTATTTGGGTAAAATTTCAGATAAGCTTGCTTATCAGCAGTGTGTTACTTAACTCAAAAATTATATTTATATAAATGGATTATGGCTAAAAAATTGAGTATTCCTAAAATCAGTGCACACAGAAATCTGAAATACAGCTGTCCAGAACTCCAGCAACCTCTGACCTTTTCAAAAGGCAACTAACTGCAGGTACATACTGCCAAACCCCAGCAAATGGCCTACTTAAAGATGTAAAGAAGAATAAAGCTGCCACTAACAAAACACAGAAACAAGTCAGGCAGCTCTTAGAGATACTTCTGTATTGAATATACTGGGGAGGACACAGAAATGCACTTGGAGAATTGCATGTAAATAATAATTATAAAAGGATGGTGTGTATCTGCATAAGTGCATGATATTGTCACTGTTATTTTTCATGCTGTGTGGTCCTTAAGATGACTAATTAATTCCTTAGAAATCTGTCTAGCTTTTCTTCACATCCACATCATCCAGTGAGTAATCAGGAACTCTGATGTTCTCTAAATTCTCACTTTTTAAAAAGCATGCTGTTGATGTCCTTAAAAGAAATGAGAATAGCATATTGAGATATTATGCTTCAAAATTTGATCTATAAAACTCATATGTGTTAGAAGATTCATTTAATTTTCCAAGGTAGTTTTTAAAATACGAAAATTAGGTGTATAAGTTAAACTATATACAGAGAGACTACGATACTTTAATTTATTTTGTCATAATAGCCGCAAGGCAGTGTGATAGAGTGTTATCCTCATAGAATTAATTATTGCCCTTTTTCCTGAAAGTTTTATGGTGGCTTTGGCTTTCATTGGACCAAAGCAGCAGGGAACATTATTCCCTGACAACATTTTCTTCTATAATTATTTATATCTGTTCTCTCTCAGGCAGAATGGGAGTCCTTGAAAGTAACCAGTGCAAGGCAGAGCAGTGGATCAGTACTCTGTGTTAAATAAATGTCCCACGAGAGTAAGTGTTCATAGAGTACTCAGTGGGAGTACATTTTCAGTGAATCTGATATTTTAATCTAGTGGAGGGCAAAAGTTGGCTTTAGAGTGGGGTAGGAAATAGCCGCAATTGAGCTGCACTCCTGAATGTTTTGCTGAAATGCTCTGTGTCTGCTCTCACACAACACTTGTTGTTTCATTGCAGCAGCACTGTGGGCTCTGGTTCATGGGGGTGCTGTGTAGCTCTCAAACCCCACTGTCTGCTGAGCTCTCAGTAGCTCCTACACACTCCCAGCTGGATTTCACAGCTTGTTTGCATCTGCAGATATGTTACATGCCCACTCTAGGGGAAGGTTTGATGGGTAAACACTGGAAAAGAGACCTGGAGAAAGGCTGGGTAGGGGACAGACAGTGGGAACACTTACTTATGATTTTTCAAATTGTCTCAAGCTTTCTCCAGACTCTGTGTGGGCACAAGGAAAAGGCAGGCTGGATATAACTCTGACCTGGTCTCAGACAACCACACCTTCAGGGGGCCAGCCTGTTCTTGAGAAGAATACTGTCTTTTCCGGGTTTTTGCAATTTTATTTTAAAGCTCTTCACAAACAGTCTTCTAATGGTAAGATAACTTTAACATCATCAGTGACTTTTAAAGTTTTATTACCAATAATATTGTTATTGTTATTGTTATTATTATTATTGTGTTGTTGTTACTTAGTTTTACATAAATTTGGAGACAAAACACTCTTGCACAGCTACAGGTAAAGAGGAGTGGAAGGTTGTGCCCGGCAGGAATGGTGAGTAAAGCAGAACTGTCAGTCTTTCCCTGTGGGGAAGATGGGAGGGGATGGCCGTGTGGGTGTGAAGCTCAGCCAGACCTGCAAACTTTGGAGCACGAAGGCACAGTGACATACTCTGCAAATTTTAAACACCACCCAAAGTAAAGCACTTCACAAACTTGAACTTGGTAAACTTTAATTTAGCCAAACTTTGACTGATCCAGACACAACAGGGCACTTTCTAAGGCATTGCCTGGAATTTTTTAATTTGGTGTACAATGTATTTTGAGACGAAGGTAGGAGAAAAAGGAGGAAGAAAAAGGAGAAAGGTTTATAGGCAACACCCCGGGGCCCCGCGAGGCCCTGAGGGCCTCTGGATCCATGGCAGGGGAGCCCTGGGAGCTCGGGGCGTGTCCCGGGCTCTGCTCCGCTCCCCTGTGGCTCCCCGGGCACAGCCGTGCTTTGATGGGCCCTGAGGGGACACACGGACACACGGCGCCATTGGAGTGAGGGAGACGGGCCGGCATCTTGGGGCAGGGCAGGGGAAGGTGGAGGTGTTGGTCTGCCATGGTGGGTGAGGGTGTGTGAGGGAAACGGGCTGCAGGTGTGTCTCAGGCTGTGGGGTCAGAGCGCCATTTTGCGTGGGACTGTGAGTAACTCAGCCGTTTTGTGTCAGGCTGTGGGGGCACTTCACCATTTTGTGTCAGGCTGTGGGTCACTCACTCCACCATTTTGTGTCAGGCTGTGGGTCACTCACTCCGCCATTTTGTGTCAGGCTGTGGGTCACTCACTCCACCATTTTGTGTCAGGCTGTGGGTCACTCACTCCGCCATTTTGTACTGGGCCATGGGATCACGCCGCCATTTTGTGGCAGAGCATGGATTACTCCGCCATTTTACGGCAAGCTGTGTGGTCACTCCACAGTGTTGTGTCAGGCCATGGGGTCACTCCACCATGTCGTGTGAGATAGTCAATTCCTCCCAGTGGTATTCTTTCGTGCAAATGGGTGTGCTGGATGTCCCAGGTCCTACTCTGAATGGGTGCAGGAAATCTCTGAGGAAAAAAAGAAAGAAAATTACTTGTAATATGTTTGATAGGATTTTTGTTTTTTTCAGCTAAGGAGATCTATGAATAAAGGGTTGTTATTTTGATCACTATTCATGTGCACTATACCCAAGTACTGGAAGAAGTACCTGTTGGTTTTCAGGATGTAACACTCCCAGATGAATGCAGGTTCCTTTTGTCATCTGCAAATGACAATAAGGTGACTACAAAATAACACAAGGTCCGCTTCAGCATCTCATTCTGTTCAGAGTAATAGTCAGTAATGTACATGATTTCTTTTCTGTGGATCATAAGTCAAGGTCTTGATGAAGTGGGGAATTTGTGTCAAAGGCAAGCCAATGTGAAAATACAAAAATGCTTTCTTTTCCTGTGTTATTCTTCCTGCTTTCATCTCTGCCAAGCAAGCTAATAACAAAAAATATAAATACAGATAACCACATGAAAGAAGGTATAATTAAGTACCTGGATTTGAATTAATGGTACAACAAAAGTATAATCCATGATATGGTTTAAAGTTATTTCAATAATTCCATTTGTTTCAGGTATAACCAGGGCAAGGTTACTGAAGTTTAGCTTGTGACTGAAGTTACAGAACTGATTAACAACTGTTATTGTGAATTTCCATAATGAGAGAACAGGGTCCTGAAATGTCATACTGATGTAGCCTGAAAAATACTCTTATAATTCCTTATAAACATCAGTGTCTCAGTAA